TGGAAGCGATATAAACAATAATGATAACAAAAATAACAATGATGATGATAATGATAATAGTAAGAAGAACAGTAATAATAATGATAATGGTGATAATAAAAACGATAACAATAGTGATAATAATAAGGGTAATAACAATAAAAATGATGAATGAAAATAACATCTATAATGATAAGAACAACAGTAATAATAACAATGATAATAATGATTATTATAATGATGATGACGATGATAATAATAACGATGCTGATAATATCAATAGAAATGATAATGATCATCATAATGATAAAAAAAGAATGATAATAAAAGCAATTATGACGTCAACAATAATGATATATCAAGAGAAATGATAACGATAATAATGGTGGCCAAGATGATGATAATGATAGTTTTATTACCATTTATAATGATAATAGTAATAATGAAAATAATAATAATGATAATAATGATGATGATAATGATGATGATAATGATGATAATAATAATAATAATAATAATAATAATAATAATAATAATAATAATAATAATAATAATAATAATAATAATAATAATGATAATAATGATGATGATAATGATAATGATAATGATAATGATACTAATAATAATAATAACAATTATAATGATGATAAGGATGATGAAAATAATTATGAAGATAATAATAATAATAGTAATAATGATAATTGTAATAATGATAGTAATGATAATAATAATAGTAATAATAATAATGATAATTATAATAATATTGATTATAGAAATAATAATAAGAAGAAAATTATTAGATTAAAAACATTGTTGATGTTAATCATTATGATAATAATAAAATAGATAATGTTAGTGATACTGATAATATCAGAAAAAAATAACAAAATAACAGTAAGATTCATGATACTACTACTAATAATAATAATGAGGAGGATAATGATAATAAGACTAAAATTATAATAATGATTAATAAAACAATAATGATAACAATAACAATAATGATAATTAATGATAGTAATAATCATTATCATTATTACAGTAATGATAATAATCACAAAATGATAATAACAACAACAATGATAATATCAACAACAATAGTATGTTACAATTGTCATACTCATTGTAATATTCGGTACAATGATTGTGAAAAAATAATATACTGTGTCCATTGTAACAGTAAATAATATCATCTCACTTTAATCAAAGAGCACACATCACTTCAATGGCATATAAAAGTAAATATGAATTCATTACTAATCTGTATACACTGTACATAGTTTGCGCTCCTGTGTGGCAAAAGTGTATTTCAAAAATACGCTCTCAGTGCTTTGATAAATTTGTATGGGGGTGGGGGGTAGGGGAGGGGCTACCGGCTAAATATTTTTGCTATTCAAATTGGCAATGATCACCTGATTATAACAGAAAAAAGCATAAAAAAGATAATAATCTGATGGTCATTAGTCCAGAGCAGTTGTGGTTATACAGAGGGTATTTTACCTATAAAAATAAATGTTTCGGTCGATTTTTTCCCTCGATTTTAATAAATGATTTGTTGATGAGGAAAGGAGCTGATGGTGAATATAATGAATTGCTGCCTGGTGATATTATTTTCCTTTGCATTAACGTTGATTTTAGAGAAAAGTGCCAAGAAGAGCATGCGAAACAGTAGTGCAAGCAAATAGGAAAATTGCAGGGCAGAGCAGAGGCTCCGGTTTTCTACTGGTCGTTGTCTTCGAGTGAGGGAGGCGACGCGGCACGGAAGGATGGTGACGGCGAGGAAGGAACCGTAAGAAAAGCAATGACACTTTTCCTCTTCTTTGCAGGACGCCGACGGTGGGCGGGGCTACGTTCCCTTCGTGGACTACAGCGGCCGCGACTACGCCCCCGTGCCCAATGGGCGCCGGGCCTCCTTCGGCGACCTCGACACCTACAGCACGCCGACGCCCCCGTCCTCCACGGCGTCGGACTACTGCACCATCAAGCGGGGCTCCCGCGGCCACGGCCCGACGGTCGGCAACGGCACGGGCGTCGCCGGCACCAACTACGCCGAGTCGCCCACGCTGAGACACAACGGCACGGGCCCCGCGGCGCCGCGCCACTCCTCGCCGTACTCGCCGCACCGCAACAACTCGTACGGGTCGCCGCCGCCGCCGCCGTACCCGCGGGGCAAGCTCGACTCCCCTCGGGGCAACGCCTCGCCCACGGGCACCGCCTCCCTCACGCGGACCAACTCCGTGTCGCACGCGGACGAGCGCTGTTCGCCCGAGACCAAGTACATCTTTTCTCCCGAAGCCATGATGAAGCCCGGCACGCTGGTGTAACTCAGGTGAGTTATACACACACACACACACACACACACACACACACACACACACACTATATATATATATATTATAATATATATATATATATATATATATATATATATATATACACACACACACACACACACACACACACACACACACACACACACACACACACACACACACACACACACACACACATATATATATTATATATATATATTATATAATATTTATATATATATATTATATATATATATATAACACAAACACACACACACACACACCACACACATATATATATACCCTGGTATAAAAAAGCGCCGTCGGCTCGCGGGGAACGCCACGGCCAGGTGTGTGCGTGCGTGCGTGCATCCGTCTTTGAGCTTAAATTGTTAACAGTGGAAAGGATGTGAGATTGCATTCATCCATAACTTACGTATTTATTGAATATATAATGGCATTTACACCTTAATGTTCACATGATAGAGGAATCGAAACTCTCACCTTCCCTGCTTAGCTTCACCTGTACCCTAATTCTTTACACTCACCTTTTCTCTTTTTTTCCCTTCTCCCCTCTTCCCTCTTCCCACTTACCTCCTGCCCTCTCCCCTCTTCCCTCTTCTAATTCCCTCCTTTTCATTCCCTCTCCCCACCTCGTCACATAATGATTAGGGAAGAGAAACAGGACCATTCACACGAGTATTATAGTATGATCAATATACAGTTGCGTTGTTTACTTGAGTGGCTTTGTGAGGATTGTGTGGCTCAGCGATGTTGTATCAGCAATATACCTTGATTACAATACTTATTTAAAGTCTTTCTATTGACTGCGGGAAGTATGTGAAGTTTCTGAAAGGCAATCAAGGTCTTTCTATTAGACTGTATAGGAAGATATTTTGACCAGTTTTCTGTATAGGGGCGAATCAGCGAGACTGAGCGAGAATACCGACGGAACAGTATGAGGAAAGAGTATTAGATCGAAAGAGATAGAGTGACGAAGAGATAGAGAGGAGGAGAGGAGGAGCGGCAGGGACGGGAGATTGAGAGTGTAGAGGGATAGCGAAAGAGAGAGCGAGAGAGACAAGAGACGAGAGAGAGATTGAGAGACAGTCGGAGAACAGAGAGAGAGAGAAATGAGACAGAGAGCAAGAGAGAGAGAGAGAGAGACGGAAGAGGGAGAGCGCAGGGAGGGAGGAGGCAAGGGAGGAGGATTAGAGAAAGGGAGAGGAGAGATTAGAGAAGAGGATGAGATGGAGAGAGCAGATGTGAGAGAGTTAGACGTACGAGACGACGAGAGAGAGAGAGAGAAGTGCAGAGATGAGAGAAGCGAGAGAGAGAGAGAGAGAGAGAGAGACAGACAGACAGACAGACAGACAGGACACAGACAGTGAGAAACCTTTGCTGCACGTGCCATGATCGATTTAATAAATAAAAGCCACAGACCTTGTACTAGAAGATAGGAGTACTATCTCCTCTTTGTAGATTCTCTGTGAGAATTTCATCCCAGTCTTATATTTTCCCCAACAGGCCTCTTGTGTGTCCTTCCTGTCCTGCAAGTGTGCTGGTCGGAGGACCACGGGAGCGAGGGTGAGCGGGGACCCTTTTGACTACCTGGATCTCAATACTGTGACCTTCCTGCTGCTCGTAGATGAAGGTAACTACTTCTCATAATAGGACCTGTTTGTATAAGTGAACAATATATACTTCTAAAAAGTCGGAACATTTTTAGAGCGTTTATTTTTTTAGTGATGTTTGTACTCATCCTTTTTCATCATCTTTTAGATTAAGGTGCCTCAATTAAGATCAAGTGTCCCAGGCTGACCTCCCAGCATCCTGCCGCAAAGAGACAACCGATTTAGTAATCATTCTGCCTCATGTTGCACAGACGCACCACAGGAAAAGGACAACATCCACACCAACCAGACGCGATCATACTTGCAACAGTTCCCTCTATTTTCTTGATAGTTCCACACCATCCAGGTCAGGCTGTCGATAAAAAAAAGGTGCTACAAGCCAGGCCACGGTTTGAGCTAGCCATGTATGACATATCATATTCACAGCAGTGTTTGTGTTGTTTTAGCATCAAGGTAACTGTACCTCTGTCCCTAAACATATCATCCAACCATATGGATGCCAGGTTTTATATACACCGAGCATAGTTCTGTTTTAGACCCGTGGCGTTATATAGACTGTCAGTTGGGTATGTGTCAAATTAGCTGTTGTTATCAAGACTGAGTAACCACTGCTGACCCAAACTTTCTGACAAACCTAATGAAATAGTATGATGATTGTGATGCCAAGAAAATGAGCGTCATATTCCCTTGACATACGAAGCAGAAGGGCCTGGTACTATAACACACCAGGCAAAAGAACATAACATACTGGACGATCCAAACCAAAGATTCTAACACTAGGTATCAAGCATAATGGCCTGATCCATTACACATGCTGTCCATACACATCCACACTCGCTTTCCAACATTTCCTAACCCTGCTGGAGGAAGGTCCCAACGCTAGCTGGTTGCATCCCACCTCACACTGACCGGACAGTCTATTCCTGAATCCTGGGTACTGATAATGAATAGACGACTTTTATACTCTAGCGTTATTCAAGACTTTTTATTATCAGGTCTTCCAGATGTCTTATTGCTTTTATAGAAAAAAACACACAAAATAAAATAAAATAAATGATGTTACTTTAAAATGACA